GTGGCAGATGGTCAAAGGGATGACATTCCAGGGTGCAAACCAGGAACATAATGACATATTGGATCATACATTTGTGGCTTGGCAGAAATGCAAGTGAGGCCAGGAGGATGTTTACAAACTTAAATGAACAGGCAGAACTGGAGTTTGAAAATTGATATTTGGGCAATTAGAGGCTAAAAGAAGGGGAAGCCAGGAAGCAGGAGAGAAGGAATGAACATTTAGTAGAGAGCATGAGGAGATAATGCTGCTGAAGTATTACAGGATATATAAGTTCCTTTTCTTTTTAATGTCTTAATACATGTCAACATAATAAGGAAACTGTAACAGAAGACAAGTTCCTGCTGAGTGTAGTTCAAATCATTATTTATCAAGTACCTATTATGTGAAAGGAGCTTTACAGAAAAGCAAAAGAGCCTTGTTTCATGCATGGGCTCCGATCATAGTTAAATTACGATCTTATTGCTGCTGGAAGACCAGAAAATAAATGAAAACAATATGAAGCCATGCATAGTTATCTGTCTGGTGAAATTAAGTTTTTATTTCCTAGCTTTCGCTTTAGACAGATTAAAAAAAAAAGTTTAGTTCAATTCAAGATCCACATCTGGGGATCTCAAACACTTCTGATATTCTGATGGATTTGGAAATATTATTTTAATAATCTGTTGGCTATGCTTGAAGCATATCTTTATACCTGCATTATCAGACAAAGAATCCTATGAAATGGCAGGGAGTGTTTAGGTGTCTAATAATATGTGTTTTAAAGAACACATAGTTTTAATACTTACCAAGATATACTTACCAGAGAGTACTTAAAAAGCATCCCTATTTTAACTTAAATTATTTTACAGTTTACACAAGTAGCACAGAGATTAGAATCTTTCAAGGTCTCTCAAAATATTAAACCAAAAAGGGCGCCTGGGTGGCTCAGTTGGCTAAGCATCTGACTCTTGATTTCAGCTCAGGTCATGATCTCAGGGTTGTGGGATCAAGCCCCACATCAGGCTCCACATTCAGTGTGGAGTCTGCTGGAGATTCTCTCTCCCTCTCCCTTTGCCCCTCCCCCTGCTCTCTCTCTTTCTAAATAAATAAATAATCTTTAAAAAAAAGGTTAAACAAAAAAATAGGACACGTAGTAGTTTCAGAAAATTATGTCTGAATTCCAGAACTAATATGCAGCCTGTGTTGTGGTATCATATTCTGTGGCCTTCTGTCCCTTTAGATACAGAGAGGTTGCAAGTGTACCTCTCTATTCAACAATTTATTTTACTGTAAAATTTTTTTATGAATTATCAATCAGTTATAAAATCCCTGGTGTTCTTAGAGCTCCAAACTGAATTTTATTCTTATGATTGCTTTTCAAAGGACTCCAAATCTCACTTCTTTCACTATTTTTAAAGTGTCCACATGAGTCAGAACTTACATATGCACAACAGTCTCCCTACCTCCTCCTGTATGTGCCCATATCCTTTTAAGAAAAAGAAATAGAATATATATCAAAATAAAGAATGCTCTGTCACCTGTTTTGAAAGATTAAACCACTTTCAAGGCTATTTCCGAATTACACTGAAGATATAGTTGCTGGGAATTTCACGAATATATGGACTATATTCAGAAAGACATGAATTACTAAGAGAGTTTCCCAGTTTTTCTGGCCATTTTCTGAGACCCTTTGGTCACCTGAATCCATATGGGATATGTAGAATTTTCACACTATTGCTTCAAAGACTTTTCATATGAAATATTTTTCTAACTTTTTTTCTCATCCCAAAGTCTTCTAAAATACCCATTGGGGTAAAATAGCACTTTTAAGCTAGTAGACTCAAAAGTATGCAAAGTATTCCAGTGCAGTCTTCCCAATAAAGAGGTGCATAGATATCCCATACATTTATTGAATGATTCCAAGTCTATTTTAGTTTTTTTTTTTTGACCTCCCTATGGCCTTATTTCTGCTTTCAGAGATATATATTGCAAAATAATCGCTGTTACTCAAGATCTATCCTATTGATATTTTTAGCATCTAATATGCATCTTTGTTTCACACTGTTTTAGTTTAAGGTCTTTGTGCTAGCTGTTCAATATCTTTTTGAACACTAACCAAATATATTTGCTTGGCTTCCAGGAGTTCTATGAGCTTCTGTCTTCATCCAAACTATTAAGAATTAGAATTAAGAACCAAACTTGGGTGTGTTATTAGAGACTGTCCTTTATTTGGCATTGATAATTACCACTTTTCATTCAGAGATGTTCCATCTTACTTGCCCTTTATTCAGCTCATATTAATTTTTTATCCACTTGGAAGTCAAGATTTTCTATAATACTTGGTTTATACTGTTTTAATTATACTTCAAGTTTAGAGATTTGTTGTTGCCCTTGACACCTAATTTTGCAGTTTCAACAAGACAAATTTTGTTCTCTGCATATAAGAATAAAAGTAAATAAGATATATATGTATATGTATGCATATATATCTTCCTACTTCTTTCATTTTAGTTCAAAGTTTTCTTGTTCAAGTTCAGTGAGCCTTCAGTCAAGTACATTTTTTGCAGTTCCGGTTAGGTACACAATATCCCTTTTCAGGAGCTCATTATTCTGCTCTGCTAAGTCTTTCTAGGTAGGAAGCTCTTTGCTTCCTGAATCCTCTTTTCTTTTCAGAAGTCAAAACTTCACCTGGAAAAAAAAAAAAAGAATATCTTTATGTTTCTGTGTCTGCGAGCTTTCTATTTAAGAACCTAAGGTGTACTAGAAACGTTTTCTGGCTTTCGCCTCATTTCTGACTATGTTTCTGATTGCATTTCCAATAATTATTCTGAAAGAGAGTATGCTTCCAGATTAAGAATGTAAAGTGAACATTAGGTCAGAGCTATAAAAGGGAGTCCACACCTACCATTGCATGTTAGGTCATTCTACATTATTAATCATGTTTATTGAAATCAAGGACCAGTGCCTTACATCTCTTCTTCAGAGGCCAGCAGTGAGATTTTCAAACATGTTTGCACCTGTGAACACTTAGTTCATATCTTTGCCTTAGACAAGAGAGTTGTACATATAGGCAAGTCTATATAAATCATGATGCAACGACCTACAGCCAAGAGATGTGCTTCCTCAAAGCTTAGGTTTCTGGGAGAGTGCTTGTGACTGTTTTTGTTATACAACACACATGATATAATTTCTGCATTTTGCTTTCTCTATTCTTAACTCGCTTCAGAATAGACAATTGATACATTATTTTTTTCCTTTTCTACTGGGTAAGAAACCTTTTGTAATTTCTCATTAGGTTATTTATGCTCTTTAACAAACCTTCAATTATATGTATATGTGTACATACATAATTGTGTGTGTGTATGATTAGAAACACATATATATGATTCATGTGTTTCATCTGTGTTACGTTGAATATTTTAAAAATGCATTATCTTTCTATTGCATTAATTTGGCCCTGTAAAATCAAGAAAGCATAGCTATAGATTATTGTATCATGACCAGCTTAAACATACTCATATGTAACAGAATTCCAATTTTCAGGAAAAAAAATTGATGAGATAAAAGAATTTCTAAATGTAATTGTTTAATGATTTATTTACTTTTTAGTGAAAAATATTTAACTCATTGGTGTAGTTGCAGGTTAGGTTCTCTTGAAGCAAATTCTGAACTGGGGTTTAGAGGGCAGGTTGTTTACAGGAGTGTGTCCTTGAGATCAACATCTGTGGGGCAGTGGGAGGAAGAAGCAGAATGAGAATTGAGCTGTTATGCAAATTTAATGCCTCACAGCTGATCCAAGAGTAAAGTTCTGGAAATAAACATGTTGTTCACTATGTTTACATTCAGTAGAAATGGCTCCACCTTTATAACCTTGGAGCAATGAGTCATTGACAATGTGCTGCTCCAGAAGAACGCAACATAGGGCCAGGTGATAATCTACAGCTAGGGCAGCTAGTTATTCCATGCGGGGAATCTGCACAGCTCCTCTAAGTGTACCTACCAGAAGGGTCTTTTGTCCAACAGATTTGCTGGAATGAGGAATAATAATACTAAGATAACCAAATATTATGTGCACTTGAGAACATCAGTATGATTAGAGATGAATGTAAAAAGGTAAAAAGGCAGTCTGACATTGTGGTTTCGAGCAGGATTCTAGAATGTATTGAGGTTGTATCCTAATTATTCACTAGCTCTATGACTTTGGGCAATTTATCCTCTGGGTCCCAGGTTACTTTTTTTTTTTAATTATTATTTATAGTGAAAATGATTTTTCCTAAAAAATTAGAAATGTAATATCTTCTCCCTTATAAGGTTGTGTGGATAGATGAAAATCTATAATCCACAGATTGACCATGAGGGCATTTAATGTAATATATAGCATTTTAAAAGTACATAAAAAATAGGGTTAACTATTCTAGATTAATTAATTAGATTACTTAACTAGATTAATTCATCATTAACTTACTATGGTACACCTACTATAACAAGAATGCTTCAAATCACAATTAAGTCTGAAGAAGTTTATCAATTGATCTGGTCTCTCCATAATTTATCATCTATATCATCTATACCAGTTGCCCTCTTTTTGGTACATTAACATCACCTGAATAGTTTGCTAATAATACAGATGTGTGTTCCTATTGTTCACCTTGAGTCACTAGGTTTGGGGTAGGGACCACTATCTCATCTCAAAGTTTAGGACCCATTGACTTGAAGCCATCCATATTCTGTGAAATCTTTTTTGCTACTATGTCCATGTCCAAAATGTTGACTGCTTCACTCCTCTGTCTTCCACTCTTCCCCTTCTCTTTTAGTTTGGGCTCAATTAATTTTTCCAAGTCAGTATCTCAATTTAAGAACATATATTAGTCACTCTTTAATGATCGCCCTTGTTCCTGTGTCCATTTCATAAACTAAAATTAAAAAAAAATCACATATCCCCATTTTATCCATTAAAGGAAATGTGAATCTTGAATGGCGGCTTTACTAAGTACATTTTGTTTTGCTTATGTCTGTCATAGATAACACAGCCAGCATTCTGACAAGGCGGAGGAGATTTAGTCGAACTATTCAGGATGTGTATTATCTCCCCATTATGATCTCTGATGGTGGAATCCCCTCTCTCAGCAGCAGCAGTACCCTCACCGTCAGGGTTTGTGCATGCGAGAGAGATGGGCGCGTGCGGACCTGCCATGCGGAAGCGTTCCTGTCCTCGGCTGGCTTGAGTACAGGGGCCTTAATCGCTATTCTGCTGTGTGTTGTCATTCTCCTAGGTAAGTCATCCTGCCTCCTGATGTCGTATGATGGCGATTCGGAATGTTCCCTATGATGGCCAGCAGTGTCTTAGAAAAGAGAGACAAAGACAGTCATTTTGACAGAACTTAAAAATTAGGAACACAAAATTTGGACCACAAAATACAGCTGCACAGACTTCCTTTTAATTACCTTTCTCAATACCATGGCTGATCTAGAAATAATTTGATTCACAATTGATGAAAGAGTTGAAATATCAGAAGGAAGGATAGATTATGAGAGAAATCTTTGGGGGGAAGGATCTATTTTAAAAAGAATTCATATTAAAAATTCTAAATACCATATTCAAAGGGCTCTTATAACTTATTTCAAAGAACAGTGATATCATTCTAACATGAATATAAACACCAAATAAAAAATAGATTTCTTGTAGAAATTCGAAAATATTATTTAATCATCAATGTTAGCAGAATCGAAAGTGATCTTGGGTAAGATGCAGATCCCCGGATGAAAATTTTTTATCAATTTTATCAAACTTTTAACAAAATGTTGACTGGAAGTCCCTGAGATTCCATTTGAAAACTACAACATTGATAATTTCATGTCAGTGAACAAATATCTAATGTTTATGGCATGGTGTCTTTTTCTTGGAACAAGTTTCCAAGGGCAAGGGCTAAAAATAAAATAGCTGAAATTTAAAAAAAAAAAGTGATCTTGGATAAATTAGATATTGTCTGAGTTAGCACAACATCAAAGAAGACTTTTCATCTGTTGCTGAATGTGGGCCCCGATCCTCACTGAGCTGGGGGCACCAGAAGTGTAATTTACTGAGGTCACTACAGCAGGAAAATCTAAAGAGAGAGATAATAAACAAGGCTGAGCTGTGATGAGTTCCAGCATGGTCGCTGCATCAAGAAGGATGCCATGGCAGGGCAGAGTGAAGGAAAGTCAGAGAAGAAGGACGAATAAGAGTAAAGTATGATGTCATCAAAGTCAAAGGAAAAAAAGTATATCAAAGAGGACAGAGCATTCAACAGTGTCAAAAGCTGCTCTGAGGTTAAATAAATTGTGTATCTAAATGTATCAGGGTCACCTGGGAGGCTCAGTCAGTTAAGCTTCTGCCTTCAGCTCAGGTCATGATCCCAAGATCAACCCCCCCCACCCCACCCCCAACGCCCGTTGGGCTCCCTGCTCAGCTGGGAGTCTGCTTATCTCTCCTTCTTTGCCTCTCCTCGCTCCCCTGCTCGTGCACTCTCTCTCTCTCAAATAAATAAGTAAAACATCTTAAAAAATATAAAAAAATAAATGTACCCATTGCACTTAGCAAAGAGGAGCATGGAGGTTCAGTGCCCCACCTCTGGAAGTATTTCACTGTGGTATAGTCTTAGAGTAGATTCAAGGTGAAGAAAGCCAGGAAAATTAGGCTCTCTAAATTTTATTTCCTTATGTATTAATTGGTTACAACTGTTATTTGCTTTAGACAGTTACGCATTACTTTTTTTTGTTTGAAAATTAAAACAGAAACTCACAAAACAAAAATGGAAAATAAAATAAAGCAAGTACAAATATTGATCCCTCCAGAGTTCCTAACCTACACCACAAAGAATAGAACCCAGTGACTTTAGTATAAATTCTTCCAAAGTCCTGATCCTGAAAGATAGTTCATTCGGAAGAGTCACTTATCTTTGCCTTTTATTTTCATCCATCACCATCAAACCATTTTTATATACTGAGGTAAAGACTTAAAAAGTTTATTGAAAAATGTTAATATACAGGTACATTTAAGGTATATTATGTAAAATAACATTTTATTATTTCATGAAACAATACTTCCCTTTAATAGATTTTATAAAAATGTTGTTTCTCCTTTGGGGTAAACAAGAGAGCATTCCAAATTTTATGCTCTCCCACAGGACTAAAGAAATAGAGGTGCTATTTAATATGTTTACTCCTTCAATTTTTATTGAAACTCAAAGGTGTTTCTACAGTTTTATCCAAAGGTTGCAGAATCATTTCATAAGTTTGGGCTTAAACAATCATTATTTATAATGTAATTTTTATTTTTGATGACATTTGTAAGGGTTTTAATTGTTATTCAGAAGATATCTAGCCAACAGCCTCAGAATGTAGTCATGTGTAATTTTAAAATAATGTTTGTTAACATGCAAGCTCATAATTTTCAAGGAAAATATCAGCAACAACAGAGGTAGCAAAACTTTATTTTAGAACTTTTTGTGATTCTGAAATAACATTAAAACCTAACAGCTAAACAAATTGTGAAATTAATATCTTAATATTGAAAAATGTTCTGATCATCAGCTGTTTGTGAAAATGACTTGTGTAAACCCAGCCCTAGTTTTGCTACTAATTACCTGTATGATCTCAGGTGACCTGTTCAGTCTCTTATTTCTATTTACAAATCTATAAAAATAAAGTATCAACTAGTGAACAAACTTAGAGTCATCTATAAAATTTTGTGATGCTTATTTATATTTTCTTGTAGACTCCATCTATGTGTATATTGATTGTCTGAAATTGATGCCTGAAAACCAGTGGGCCTTACTTTGAATGGTACATGTGTACATTGTGAGTCAGGTTATGATTTGTCAGGATTAGCTTTCTAAGATCCCTTTTTTGATGGGATGAATGGGAGAGAATTTAGGGTGAGGCTTCACGATGCAATCAGAATTTGGTGCTAGAGGAGGGATAACTGGAGTTCTCTTTCCCTTCCAGGGATATGACATTTCTTTCCCAACCTCATCCCATCCCTTGTGAGATGGTCCAGAGCAGTTGTCAGAGCAAGCCTAAATCACGCTTAGCGCAATAAACCATTGAGTCAGGCCTCTGTCGCCTGCCCTTCAGTCCACACATCACATATAAGAAGGTGACTTAGATGAGTCCACCACCTGGATTGTTCCTACTCTTGGATATAAATTTCCTAATCAATGAGGATCAGGGTAGATTTGATGTGAGGAGAGTGAGGGGCTAGGAGCAAAGGTAGAATTGGTGAGGAGAGAAGTGCCAACCTGCTTGTCAGCTGAGCTCTCTGACATGACTGTCTGGGCTCCCCTTGGTTTGAAAAAATAAGTTTCAGTGAGAAACACCATTAACTGGTATGACCAATAGCAGGACGGGAGCTAATAAAAGTAATCTCCCTGACTTGGGCCACCTCATTTCTGCCAAACTTAGTATCAACATATGATGGTATAAAAAAGAATGAAGTGATATTTATGGGTAAAAAAAAAAAATCTGCTATGGAAAATATTTTGGGGAAATATGCTGGGAGTCAGTATATAATGTATTCAAATGCAGGCTGTATGACAGTTCAAGTTACAAAAACTCAAAACCCTTTAGAACTCCAAGCACTTTGGAATCATGGATAAATAAATTAATATATGAATGAGTAGAATGATATGAGAAAGGAAATATAAAAATATTTCCCCAAATTTGAATTCCTTCATGAATAAAATAAATGAATAAAACTCAATAAATTCATTTTAAGTTTCTTAAATAAAAAGAATAAAATGGATTTAAAATCCTAACCAAACTCAGAGAAGAGAAAGAAATATACTAACCAAGGATACAATAGTCATTAGAATAAAATCCTCCCCAAATACTACAGTTTAATATTTCAACCCAAATTACATAAAATTTCAAAATACTGCAAATCTTATATAATTTTGAACAAAGGGATAAGCACTGTATCTCATTTATTTTACAATGCCATGGCTCTGTCAAATTATCTCTTCCCAGATGACCCTCTTTAAGAAGAGGTACCTTGTTTCACATGTATGGGTTGATAGACTGTGGAGGGAGGGGAGTCTTGTGAATATACTCATTTGACTGCCATTTTTAAAAAAAGTTTAACTCTCAAATCTATGTGTGTAATTGTGTAATCAGGAATATTTTTTAATTTGGGAAAATAAGTAAATATGAGCTATCATAATAGTAATCCCAGGTTTATCCCCTATATTTCATTAGGGAAATATGGCACTGATATTGGGGAAGGATGCAAATTACCTCCATACTTTAATAATAATATTGATCACATTCTCCCTGCTATGCATGCACATAAACTCCCTTGAAATCAACAATCAACCATTTTAACATAAAGAAAAATAACTTGGTTTATTGACAAAAGTAAGACATTTTACTATAAAAATAGTCTGTAGAAATAGATACTTTAATTTAGAACAACCTCCTTACTTAATCATAAAGATGTGCAGAAATATATAATGGATGATAAATCTAAACCTCTGAATGAAAAAAAAATAAGTAAATAAATAAACCTCCAAAAGGAATGAAATGAGTTACTTGGGGATGCTGTTTGGGGTACTGAATTAGAATGCCTTAAGCTGGTTTTACACTGAAATAAATAGTAAGGTATTGGGGCAGCTTGGTGGCTCAGTTGGTTAAGGGTCCACCCTTGATTTCTGCTCAGGGTCCTGGGATCGAACCCTCTGTCAAGCTCTGTGCTCAGCAGAGGGTCTGCTTGGGATTCTCTTTACCTCTCCCTCTGCCCCTCCCCCAATCTCTCGCTCTCTTGCTCTCTCTCAAAATAAATAAGTAAATCTTTAAAAAGAATAGTAAGGTATTAGATGCATATTTGCTACATTCGGCAAAAGTCTTTTCTTTCTAAAAATAAGGTGCTATATTAGATAATGTCTTTGAAGTATAAGTAGCATATTTGAGAAACTATTTTTATATAGCATAATATTTGGGGGTGCCTGGCTGGCTCAGTCAGTAGAGCATGTGATTCTTGATCTCGCAGTTACACGTTAGAGCCCCATGTTGGATATAGAGATTACTTAAAAATAAAAATCTTAGATAAATAAATAAATTAAATAAATAAATAAATAAATAAATAAATAGCATAATATTGGTGAAGCAGGGCCACATATGGCATCTGCATTTCATTTTCAGGTTTCTATAATCACTCCAGACACAGTGACTCACTGTTTCCCCATGTCTGCCATAATCTCTCTCATTCAATTCTGCCATTACTGAGTCCTTTTATTCCATACTGTTCGAGATGATTTTCTGGCACTTTCTATAGGTGTTTTGTCTTTTTGTTTCTTTGTTTCTTCATTCCCATAGGCGCTCACTTGCCCTTTCTCTGCAAAATTAGACTCTCCGGTACATTGTGACCATCTCTTTCCATGTGTAGTAAACTCTCTGATAATTGTCCTTTGTACTTCTGGCTTGAAAATCTCCTTTTCCTCTTTCTATTATTGTTTTCAACGTTCTAGTTTAAAAAAAACAGGCAAGGCTCATTTATTATATCATTTAGAGATATGCATAAAATGGGTTAAATTATAAAGAGAAACAAGGAAACAATAATGATATATATAGTAAGAGAAGTTACTTTTTAGTGGTATGAAGTAAAAGGTCAATTTCTAGGGTACCACCTCTGTTCTTTATCAGAGAATAGCTAACCTGGTGTTTGTTTGCTTTACAAGTATTTGTTAAAGATGCATATCAGTAAGGTTGCCAGATAAAATACAGTATATAGAAAGAGATAAAATACAATATAGAAATGTGAATTTCAGATAAAAATATATGTCTGTAGGTGTATATTTGTATGTGCGTGCATATAGCATAAGTATGTCACATGCTATATATATAAAAACTGTTTCTATATATGTTATATTTATGTTATGTCATGTGTATATATACACATATATACACACATATATACATGCCTTTTGAATGTACTTCTTTGATTATTATATTGTAAAGAATGTTTAAAATAACAATGCACCTAATAATTGCTACCATAAAACCTAGATTATCAGCTGACCAAGAACATTCTGTAGAGCTGAAGTAAAGAATATTGGGCTTAATAGCACAAAGTAGAAGTGAGGTAATTCTTTCTATTTAGTAATGGCTTAGTATCATCAAATAGAAAGATTTGAAAATACAGAGAAACAGCCAAAGCAAAGTGCCCAAGATCCATTTACATCGTTTCATCTAATGGTTGTGACATTACTGGTAATAACCCACATGCCCAACTCAGTTCCTTGTTCCATATTTTTTAAATAACAAAATGGATTATGATAATGGAAGCTTCATCACCTATGGTGTGAGAAGTCATAGATTACAGTCTAAGTTCTTCCATCTGCCATTTGTGTAATCTTAGAGTTGGATTTTAGTTCTTTATGTAATTTTTCTGGAGCCTCAGTTTCCTTGAGGAAACCCATACTTTGCTGCGAGGATTAAATCAAGAAGTTATGTAAAAAACATTTGGTAACCTGAAAAATTCCTCTGAAACATAAGTTAGGTACAAATAAAATAACATCTTTTGTGCAGCTTGATAGATATATGCAATTATTAATGCCTGATAATAGAATTCTAAAAGGTAATGGGCAAAAGAGATCAACCTTGTAAAATATACCTGCTTTGGTTTCCTACAAAGCATCAAAAGTAAAGGGTTTAAGAGAAACTTAAAATATCCTTCCTTTAGTGTATCTGCCTAGAATCTATACATAGAACAACACTCACCATTATTCCCCCAGGCAAAATTCCGTATGCTCTTCCCTCATCTGTTTCCCTCAGTGTGAAGACGGGGTGATAGACCACAGTGAGCCAGGAATCCTGAATGCATAAGTGTGACAAATGGGAATATTAGGTTTTTCTAGAGAAGACCAATGATTCCCAAGGCCTTATGGAGATAATCATTTTTCACATTCCTTGAGATTTTAAAAAACTCTCCAACTGTTATCCAGAGAGTGCAGAGATCAAGATTGTGTTACAAGGCAAGCCTAAATAGAATGTAGTTGCTGATGTCAAATCTCCAAGAACTTCCTTCCTTTGTGCTAACTCTCCATCCTCTTTCCATTTTTCTTCAGCAATTGTAGTACTTTTTATCACCTTGAGACGCAGCAAAAAAGAGCCCCTAATCATCTCTGAGGAGGACGTGAGGGAGAATGTGGTCACCTACGACGATGAGGGTGGCGGTGAGGAAGACACCGAGGCCTTTGACATCACAGCCTTGAGGAATCCATCTGCCGCCGAGGAGCTCAAGTATCGGAGAGATATCAGACCCGAAGTGAAACTCACCCCCAGACACCAGACACTGTCCACCCTGGAAAGCATAGATGTTCAGGAATTTATTAGGCAAAAACTGGCAGAAGCCGATCTAGACCCCAGTGTCCCCCCTTATGACTCTCTTCAGACTTATGCCTATGAAGGTCAGAGATCGGAGGCTGGGTCCATCAGCTCACTGGATTCGGCAACCACACAATCAGACCAGGATTATCACTACCTTGGAGAATGGGGACCCGAATTTAAAAAGTTAGCTGAACTCTATGGAGAAATAGAATCTGAAAGAACAACTTAGGGGGTTAATTCTTGCAACCTTCTAGAACTTGCTTCCTGAGCAAGTGGAGACATAACCTCAGCAATGGCAAGGAAGAAGAGTGGAGATAGTACTTGGAACTGAGCAAGCTGTACACAGCTACTGTAGAAACAAGTGCCCTTTTCATGATCGAAACTGGGTTATTTAATCAGAAGACAGTCAAATTAAAAAAATTCAGAGAAAAAGCTATTGTTCCTTGTGTATATTTTCAATTGCTCAATAAAGTCTGTGGTACTGTTTAATTAAGAATACCTGAATTAAGCCAAACAATAATATTTGTTTCAATATTTTGTGATTTCTTTTCAAAAAGCAAAACAAAACAGAAAGATTCAAAATCACTTATGACTAGGGGTGGTACACTAGGAAATGAAACTTGTGCAGGTAATCGGGACCTCCTTTTCCACTTTTCTGTGTGGACTCTTGAGACCCACACTCTGTTATTGTGACAGATCTTATTAGCGTTGTCTTGTGTTCAAATGACATGAGGTATATCCAGTATACCAGGTCATTCCATCATGGACTTGTATGTACCATTTTTCTTTGCCCTCCCCACTTCTTTTCTCCATACAAAATTGATGGAGCATGGGGATTTGCTGCTTGCACTATAATGTATGCAACTTCTGTGCACACATTGTGCACTGCTCTGAAGCACAGAGACCATCATCTCTGTCCTGCCTGCCCTCCTTTCTTTTAACAAAAGACCCCCCCTTTTTTTATGGATAGAATGAATGGTTTAAGTAAGATATATTCAGATAATCTGATATGTCAGGGAAAGCTTTAATTTGAAAAATAGTCACAAACCTTATCCTGTATAAAACATTGGAAAATGCAATGATTTATTCCATTCCATCTGTTTTAAGACATTTACATCAGCAGTTTTGATCCTGCCAATACGTAAAACTAGTTGTTGGACATTTTGATGGTTGGTTTATACTTCAGTCTAATTTGCTTACTTATAAAACATGAGTAGTCATCGAAGATATGTACCTCACATGATAACAATGTAATCTGAAAAGATGATACTCCAATTTACATAAATCTTGTAGACCTTGGATTGACTTACCTTTATTCCTTTACACAGGTTCAGATTGTCCCCATCTCACTGACTGCTTAGCCCTTATCTGTTTGGGATCTACAGGAAAATATATAAAACTGAAGCAAAAAAAATAAATAAATAGAGATTCACACATTATCCTTGGAAACGTGCCTCAAAGTCTCTGAGCTTCAGGGTCCCAAACCACAAAATAGAGATGGCAAAGACTCCCCGCCTGTCTCACAGGGTTGTGTGAGGATCAAGAAGCATCTGTAAAAATGCTTTGCCAACTGCAAAGTGTTCTGTTATGTAAAGGCTTGCAGACACTAATTTTTTAATTCTGTTAGCTTACAAATATATAGTTACATACATTTTGAATAAAGTATATTATCATGAGAGAATTTCATAAAACCTTCAACACTGTAGCAACTGCTAACTAAACATAATACACAAGTTTAATTATTTTGATATTTTCCCAAATAAACTAATTTTCTTCAAATTTCTTGTTTTTTTTTTTTTCCTAACTTGCTGTTTTTGCTATTGGTCTTAAAATAAGCATAATGGTCCTATTCTCCAAAAATTACCATATTTATGTATTTCAGATAGATTGGAATTTTGAAACCCACAAATTAAGAATTATCTCAAGGAGGAATTTTTCCTTTACTCTTTGAATTTCTCATAATCAGGTGTCCTCAAATGTTCATGGAATTTTCTGTCTGATTCCACCAATGTGCAAAATTTTAAATTTCGCCTCTGTTTGCAATTGCCCTATGCTATCATATTTCAGTTTTGAGGTATGGGAAGTAAGTAAGCTTAACTTGAATAATTCTCAACATGTGTTCTAAGCCTGAGGAATAAAATTTAATTTAAGTTTTTTACCACATTGTAGCTTTCCAGATGCTGCTTTATCATTTTTTTATATCATAATGGTATGCATTGCAGTATAAAGCTGTATCAGAAAAAAACACTCAGGGGTTTTGGGGAATAACCTCTGGAGGCACATACTCTGACTATACTAATGTTGGACCACATTCACCCTGAAATAAGGGTACACCTTTGGAGAACTACTGTGGTTGCTGGTGTTAGGACTTTCCTATGCAAAGAGGAGCAGGAAGGTCAGGTTTGGGAATTCTGTTACATTAGGCTTTGGATTTATATTTTAGGTAAACTATTCATGGCTTTTATTTTATTTTGTTTGGTTTGGTTTATTTTGTTAATATTCACCTGGTAAACTTACAGATGAGGGCTTGAAAGCTGAAAATGTATGTGTACATTTATAACAATTTACATAAAAGCCAAGGTCCTCTGCATGGTTTTGAGTATGAAAATATTTCCCTTATTATATGAAAAAAGCACCTCAGATCCATCTAATTTTAATTATACATTATAATGATAATGGATTATTTCTAAGCCCCTAATGTTAAATATAATATGGAGGCAAAATGGAGCTTCTGTAGTCCTGAAATACTATGTTTCTGTGTTGATTTATCCTAGAATTTTGTTAATGAAAGCATTCCAAGTGTTTTATTTTATATGAACTCTGAAACTAGGCAATTATATTGTTATTATAAATATGGATTAAATCTCATTTTTAAAGTTCTGCTACTTTGAGTCAAGAAAAAAAACCATAATGATATATAAATGTTCTGTAAATAGATTGAAGTCATCTTAATATCTTGCTTTAAGAACTCCAGTTTGTCAGTGTTGGAAGAAAATTCTCAAAGACTTTAGTGGGCAAAGAGTTTACATATCAACTCTGAGTATTCAGTAGTCACAGATAATTAGCTATGGAATCATATGTGATTCCATATAGAATCAGCTATGGAGTCACTCATGTGTCTCAAACAACACATTTTGTAAACCTTAGTTGATACTTAGAGATCTAAATAAAATATAACTTTGAAATCAACTTACCTATTTCTAATAAAATAGTTTCCTACAGACCATCCCTATACAAAATGGTGGCTGCTAGTTAGAGGAAATATAAACAATTATGGTAATATTTTATCCAAGGTGTTTTTTACGAGAATTTATAAATTCCAAGTATTCTTTGTACAAACACTGGGAAATTAATAGATCTTGCAGGAATCACTAAAGATGTATCATCAGAAAGTCTTTCTATGATAAATCTGTATAAACACAGATCTGAAGTGGAGATTGAAGACAAAATTATCCTTAAAATAAGACTCTATAAAAAGTTAACTTGCGACTTTCTATAACCTAGTATAAGAAGAAAAATATTCTGAGAGAAATTGCATTTACATAACCATACACAAACATGTAGAAACATGTATGTCTTCTTGAAAAATATTTGAAGAATAAAAGAATATTCAAAACAGTGGCTTGGATATTGATATGATCCAAATACGTGGTGTATACAAAATTTTAGTACCTAACCTATGAACAATTCACCTGGAAGTTAGTGAACAGTTTTTAACCTTTATTTTGTATCCAGTCTCAGGCTAACCTTCAGTACTGTCAATGATGAGAGCTGATTCACAAGTGTGCTTACACAGAGCAGACAAAATTATTAGTTATAAATCCAAATTTTACAAATGAGGATTTAATGGACATAGTGCAGGTATTAAATACTAACAAATGCTTTGACTTAGATATTTTGTATACCACAGTATAGTCAGAGATATGGGTAGAAGGAGGAAGGTGTATTAAGTCCACCATTTTTAGCAATGTAGAAAGCTTAAATACACAATTAGTTTAATTTGTTCTTATCAACCTGCATCCATACATTTGATTTGTTTTCTTCTTTTTGGGTTAGCTGAATATATAGGGAAAACAACCAAAATTCAGGTAGACTCATTCATTTCAACAGCCATCAAGAAGTGCCAGTTAACTGAGTATGGTAATAGGTATCCTGGAGCATGCATATATCCAATACTTTTGGGTAAGTCTTTTTTCTTTTTAGTGTGGACAGTGTTTGATTAGCTATTCAACAAATTAGAACTCTAAAGCTGATTATTCTGGGAAGAGGAAAGAGTCTCATAATTCAAATTGAAATTGTACTTAGCTTCAAGGTATGATAACATTCAATTAACTCACTTGGCTTTCAATTTCGAAAATAGAAGAAATCTCAGAATAGTTCTTGGGAAAAATGTGACTTGAATTCAAATATTCTCTCTCTCTGTTTTATCCTTTAGGATTAAGAGCAAATTAAATATTATCTGAAGGAAACAAACCATTTCAACTTTTATTTTCTACTTCATCTGCAGAAGGTAAATTTTTTTGCAATGTAAAATTAGAAATCTCATAAACCCTACAGGCAAAAGTAGCTTGCAACCATTTGAAAATAAAACTAGTACAGAACCCACTATCTTTTTCAAAGATATCCAAATACAACATTTTAAAGTGAAAATATGAATAGGAACACTTTAACATGTCAAAAGTTGTACTCTTAACTTTGACTTATAGCAATGAAAGATGCAGTTTTGTTGTTTTTAAATAAGGTAGAGATGAGAGGATAACAGAACACATTCTTCTTTGGAACACTGATACAGAAAAAAAAGTGCTCTTAGGCTAGTAAGGAATGATGTTATTTATACACTTTGCTGAGTCTACAGAAATGAGGGATCTTTACCTTTCAACAGTACAAAGGCATCAAATCTATTTCAGTAATGATTCGTTTTTAAAGACTTAGATGAAAGTGAATGGAGAAAATAGGCATTTAAGGACTCTCAAAATTATATCCTGTGAAGAATGCGTGTGTCATTTATAGATTAAAGTGGGTTCACCAAATGGTTTAGTCTTACTGCCTAGCAATATTAGCTTCAGAAGTAGGAAAATGGACCATAATAGTTAGTGTCACCCAAATAATTTCATCAAGTCAATTTTTCATATGTCAAATGCATCAAATTCTTACTCTAAATCATCTATTCTTTTCAAAGTACTTTTTCAAATGCCTTAGTTTCAAACAGAAATTCATACTATCTAACATTTGTTAATTGAGTAAGTTCTAATCATGCACTACATGTATGATACTATTTCAGGCCCTGAAAAGGATATGAAAAAAAATGTCTTGGTGGTAGGGGTTATCATCAATGAAATTAGAGTCTTACTTCAGAGGTAAGACCTACATATAAAAAGTTATAGAGGATTTAATACAAAGCAAAAAGTGGCAAGTGTTCT